CCCCACCCTTCCTGCAGGTATCGATGTGGAGCAGGTATCTGTCGTGATCAACTTTGATCTCCCCGTGGACAAGGACGGGAACCCCGACAACGAGACCTACCTGCACCGGATCGGGCGCACCGGCCGCTTTGGCAAGAGGGGCCTGGCCGTGAACATGGTCGACAGCAAGCACAGCATGAGCATCCTCAACAGGATCCAGGAGCATTTCAGTGAGTCGCGGGGGCCTGCGCCGGGGCCCTTTTCAGAGGGACCATCGTCCCTGTGTCCTCCCTTTCCCTTTGTGTCCCCCCACACCCTCTGGGGGGCACATGTGGGGCCTTCAGGGCCGGGACTGGAACGCCGGCTTCCCGGTGGCCGGGCTGGGAGACCTGGGGACTGAGTGTCGGCGCCAGTGACCCGGGTCCCGCTTCCCCTGCCCGGGCTCTGGAAGCCTGTTGGGGAGATGACGGAGCCCTGTGACCCAGGGGGTGGTGTTCCAAGGCCAGGTGGGGACCTCTGTCTCCTGTCTCCCTGCTGCTGTCCCCTTGTGGGTGACTCGAGCTACAGCAGTGGCCTTCTGGTCTTCTCCCAGATAAGAAGATAGAAAGACTGGACACGGATGATCTGGATGAGATTGAGAAGATAGCCAACTGAGAAGCTCCCCGCTCCCTGCGCCGCCCTCGTCACCTCCAGGGGAGGAAGCCCAGTGCTCGCGCGGCCCTGGCCTCGATTACCACAGAGACGAAGGCACGAGGAAGAAGCTGCCTACCTCATTAAATTATGTTTGGACTTGACCAAAATATGTGGAAATGATGGGGAATGGTAGGTTAATTGTTCATACAACTTTGGAGGATTAGGCGTGAATATACAAAATTTTCTTTTTGGAAATAGCGTCTTTTTCTGGTCAGCATTTTCCCCGCAATATGCTCATCTAGATGCTGTAGCTGATTACTTTTCCAGGATCCCGTGACAATCTCTGCTTGTTCTCTGGCTTGGAGTGTGCGGGCCGGCCTGGAGAGCACGTGGAAGTGACACAGTAGAGGGGAAGCGGGGACACAGTGAGAAGCCCCAGGTCGATGTTTGGAAGCTTAGTCATTTTGTCTGGAAGATGGCATGAGGCAACAGAGCAGCCCTGGGAGCTTCTGCTTTGGACTTGGTGTGGAACAGATACTGCCAGCCCCTCCGTCCTAATGCCCATACCAGGAAGGGATTTGCTGTGACGGACCGAAATGCCAACCTTGGGACCTTCGTATGCAGACTTGTTTCTTGGGACTGTGATTTGTTCTTTTCAGCAGATATAATCGGTGTGGTGCACATTGGATCGGTCCTTGCCCTGTGCTAAGCAGGTTCTATAGAGTAGGCATCTTGAGAGTCAGTAGTAGCCCGGGTTTACCACTCCTGGTTCCCAGGCACTTGCAGTGTCCTTTTTATATTCCTCACATCACCTTGACCCAGTGTCTGCGAGAAGCTGGGCAGTGACCCGAGGTTTGACTTCTCAGTGAAAGTTGAGGGTTTATTTCCAGTGGCTAGGCTCAAGGCAACCCTGTGTGCAGGCAGTAATACTCACGAGGTTTTGCTTTGCCTTCAAATTGCGTAAAGCAGTTTTTGTCAGAGCTAGGAAATGATTACAGATATTTGGCATCTTGATTTGTAAAGGAATTCTGAATGTCTGTGTTTATAGTGTCTGGAATATAAACAGGTGCAATTAGGGACTACTAGATGGACTACAGCTGCTCATCTGTCCATGGCAAGAGTCTTCACCAAGCCCTTTGGTCTATCCTTACTTGGCCTTTTTGTGTAGAATATATGCAGAGCAGACAATAGAAGTGGACACCTCTCCATATGTGGCCAAGACTGTTGGTACCCCAGAGTGACAGAGCAAAGATGAGATGAAACTCATTTGTAAGAGTGGCCTGAAGTCCCAGCCCAAAGGAGTTCTCAGCTTTTTGGCCTTGATACAGAGGACCTGCAAGAGGAATTTATTTATTTTTTTCCTTTGGTGGCTCTGGGGTTCGAATCCAGGGCCTTGTACACAGTAGGAGAGTACTCTACTGCTGAGCTATATCGCTAGCCATGGAAGAGGTTTTAATGTGATGGGAACTATTCTAATTTTAGATCTTTCTCTTAGACATGTCCGTGTTTTAAGATCAGATCTATCACCTGGGAGGGGATGTGGCCAATGTCAGCCCCCAGGTGGTTTCCTTAATCTAGCATTGTGAAGAGGGAAACTGCTACTTCTGCCACTTTCCCCCATGGGTATTGGACTATGTAGTGTTTTCTCAGTGGTTCTGGTCACTTCTCAGGAGTCTTGTAAGAACAGAAGAAATTTAGTGTTTCTCTCAAGTCCTGTGAACCAAACTTGAAGTAACTGAAAACAAGGACAGTATTTAAAGAAGCATATAGACGGCTCCCTAGGCTGCAGACTGACTGTGCCGCCCCCGCCCCCAGGACACATAACCACGTACTGTTGTAGCCCTAAGTCTGAGAAGGAAATGGGCAGGGCGTGTAGCAGACTTTTCAATAGTAGAAGTAAATGGGCTTCCGGTGGAAGTGTGTTTCAGTAGTTCTTAAGCTGGGGTCTTGAATCTCTATCACTGGATAGGTTTCATCTACAAGGTATATGCATTGGTTTGAGTTTAAAGATATTTTCTTGATGAGGCTCCCAAAGGATCATGCATCTCTTAAAAACATGAAAATCTAATGTGGATACCTCTGGAGCGTCACCCCAGTGTCACTGTGAACTATATTCCCTCACAGTCATATTCATGCCAGTGCCAGCTCCTCGGGCTCAAAGGTATAGTTGCTTCAGTGACCTCATGCAGCCTAGACACCAGTGATGTACAAATACGTTGTTTGGTGAGCTTTGGTTCCCAGGGATTTTAGTCAAATTCATTCGTTTTTATATATATCTACAAACTGATAAATTGCACTCTAGAACAGAGAAACTCAGGAAATTTTTGGTGCAGAGGAAAATTCTGGATATGTTCATTATCCACAAACTTTTGGATTTTATTGGGTCTTTTTTTTTTTAGTATCTATCATTCACTGGCTGTATGCATAAGAATGAATTAATTGTTGATGTATTTTTTTATTGATGTTAATTGTGAAGAATTTATGTTACTAAGACATCATTTCTAAGTATAAGAAGGAAGTGCCAGTGTGTTTTCTGTTGCTGGTATTAGTAGTAAATGAAGAGATGGACGTGTTAGTCCTCTTTCCTTTTTTCTGCTGGTGAATGAGAGGATATGAGCTAACTATTTAGGAAGGTGATGCCAGTAAAATACAAAGTCCTTTCGTTTTAGTCTCTTGAGTCTTAGGAAAAGAGTAGAAATGGGGCTTGGAGTTAAGTCTTCCTTTGTGGTTTACATCTCGTTTCTTATTTTATATGTACGCTATTTCATATAAAGTGCCAATGATATTCAGAATATAGGTATTTCTGAGGTTAGAGAAAGTTTCATGAAAGGATGGAGTTTATAGATAACGGAATGTGGCCAGGGATATAGCTCAGTGGCATAAGTGCCTGCCTGGCAAGCACAAGGTCTTGAGTTTGATCCCTGGTACAAAAAACAAACTAAAACAGAAAACCAGGAGTCTGAGTGACAAAAGAGTGCCCCAGGCAGGAAAAAAGTATATTGACTAAAGCAAGTTCACTAGGATAAAGGAAGTACACTGGAAGGGTACTGAGGAGACAGTCCTGGACGTGTGGGCGGAGGAAAGTCTCTGAAAAAAAAATGATTGATTCAAATTATTTGATCATGTGATTATATTTTGATCACTGATTAGAATGTTTAAACAGTATCTCAGTCCATTTGTGCTCCTCTGACAAAATACCTGTCACTGGGTAGTTTATACAGAACAAATTTCTCATAGTTCTAGAGACTGGGAAATCCAAGCACCAGCAAGGCTGATGTCTAGGAAGAGCTGCTGTCTGAACCCAATATGGTACCTTGCTTCCCTCTGGAGGAGCACACGGTGTCCTCATGTGGTAGAAGGGATGGAAGCCCAAGTGAACACTCCCTCAGCCTGGAGCCCCTTTACAAGGATGCTCATTCCAGTGCCAAGTCTGGTGGTGCATACTTGTATTCCCAGCTCTCAGGAGGCTGAGGTGGGAGGATCCTCATGAGTTCAAGGCCAACCTAGGCTTCAGAGTGAGTTCAGGCCAGCCTGGACTACATAATGAGACCCTGTTTAAAAATTAAAAAAAGAAAAAAAAATGCTAATTCGTTTTAGCCCTCATGGTTCAGTAACCTTATCAAAGACCACATTTCTTAATTCTGCAGTACTGAAGATTAAATTTTAACATGAATTGTAGAGGTATCATCATTCAAACCATATCAAGCGATATTTGGATTTAGTAGTAATTTTTCATAGGTTATCACAAAAAGGAAGTGATAAAGTTAGTTTTGGGGGAGAACTGATCTAGCACATGTCCAGGATATTGGATACACTGGAGGTAGGAAAGGTTTCATTGCATCAGATGTCCCTCAGCCAGTGCTGAAGTGTCACTGCTTATACTGAGAACCTAGAAAAAGGAATGCACTGAAGGAAGGGAGGATGAATAATAGGCTTTTATAACTTCTTGTTATTCCCAAAAGGATTTGTGGCTCTTAAAAATTACTCAGAAAAATTTTCTCTCCAGCACCCACCCCACACACAAAATTAGTCTCACTGTACATAATAATTCTGGGAAGAAAGGTGGGTTAATAACAGAGGTATGGAAAGAACAGACAGTATTAGGGTTGAATCTCATACACATTAGTGTCTATGATTTCAAGCCTGTGATATTTATAAAAGGACTCAATTATAGGCATGGTGGCACGCACCTATAATCCCAGCACTTGGGAGGCTGAGGCAGGAGGATCGCCATGAGTTCCAGGCCAAGCTGCGCTACACAGTGAATTCAAGGTCAGCTACATAGCAAGACCTATTTCAAACAGAGACTTGACTCCTCCTTTACCAACAATCCCAAAGTATAGATTTCAGGGACCCTCCAAGTTTCTCATGGGCTTGGACATACACAATAGATTTTTGGAAACCTGTTGCATTTTTACATGAATTTGCTTTTCTGTTTGAGAATAAATATTCCTTATTTTGTTGCCTGACTCCTATTGCATCTTCCAAAAATGACACTGGAGGTGAGGGGCACTTGAGGGACTGCTAAAGGGCTCCCTGACCTTGCTTGTTCAGAGATCAGGCTTCCTCAGAGCAGCTTTGAACAGCTACTGTGAAGTCAGGACTTGAGGGCAGTGGATGCTTCCTGCCTCAGCACCTGCTCTGGCATTAGTGCTCAGCAGGGCTGGGGGCTGCTCCATAGCAGGGCCAGTTAGGAAATAGTAGCAGTAGGTGAAGCCTGACAGTGGTGGCTGGCTCAAATGCCAGCTGCTCAGAGGAGACAGCCCTTCTGCCTTAGCCATATCTCCTGCACAGAGCGGGGATAGGGATGAGGGAGACCTTTTGTTTATGCAGCCCTTTAACCCAGAATTATGCCACCTTTTGCCAGGGTGGGAGGGAGGTGTCTAGACAGAATTTTCCTGGAAGACTACTCATTTTGTAACTGCTGTTAGATCCTCATCCATGTGATTCCAGCATCCTTGGCATTCCCAGTTGGAGAACAGGCAAATGGTTGTAGGTTCTTTTTTTTTTTGTTTTTCTCCGGTACCGGGAACCGAACTCACGACCTTGCGCTTGCCAGGCAAGTGCTTTTGCCGCTGAGCTAAATCCCCAGCCCCGGTTGTAGGTTCTTACCTTGTCCTAAGAGTAAATCTCCCACTGCTTACACCAAAGGACAGCTCAGCCCTGGTCCAGCTGTATGGCCAAGTGTGCCAGGTTTATTGTGCTCTGGACTAATTATTTTCCTCTCAGACACTAGTAGCTACTTTTGAATCCAGGTTTAACAACAAAGTCCCAATGTTAAGGCATTGTGTAATTTCTAAAAGATTAGGCCAGACAGACATCTTGTTCTATTAATCTGATTCCACAGTGTTTAACGTCAATGGTGACAACTTCAGCAAAACCTCCAACGGCTCCCCCTCCATTCTCCCTCCGTGCTCCTGGCACAGGGGGCTGAGCCCAGGGGTTATCAACCACTGAGCTACATCCCCAACTTTTTCTCAATGCTTTGAGCACAGGATCTTACTAAGTTGCCCAGCCTGGCCTTCGGTTATGATCCCCCTGCCTTGTCCTCTCGTGTACCTGGGATTACACCCAGCCCCATGGATCTTTTTGGTTAACTGCCTGCACTCCACAATGACCATTTCCAGACACAGTTCAAACTTCCAACCCAGTATCCCTCAGCTGTCAGCAAATAATCTCCCTGTGTCAAGACATCAGTCAACAAGGAAATTACCTCAATCTTCTACCACCAGACTTTCCTCCACTAGGCACCTGTCCTTCCCTCTTCCTCCTATTCCAATGGGAAATGTATCCCTATAATCTGAACTTCTCTACCAGTCCACCAAATTCCCTCTCCTGGCTTTTTAAGGCTCTGTTCATTGTCCCCACACATTTTCAACCTTGTCCATCCCATTAGCTCTTCAACATTTTAACACATTCATACCTGGTGACTAAAATGCTACTGACCCTCTATTCTTCCTCTTCTATTCTCTTATTTCTTGATGGCCAAAAGTCTTGGAGATTTGTTTCTATGGACTGAGTTCTACTACTAAAAGTCTGCAGCCTGACTTCAGGCTCCCTTGAAATAGCTTCCACCGAAGACACTGATGCCCTACATGTTCCTAATCCAAAAAGCACGTTTTGGTCATCATATCTCAGCAGTATTTAACAAATGGACAAGAGCGTCTTCGAGCCACTTTTCTAGCGAGTGAAGTGACACCCCCACTTACTGGTCTGTCTTCTCGGACCACGTCTCAGCTCCTTGGCAGATTGCTTTATTCACCTCTTAAATGTAACTTCTCCACGGTTCTGTGCTAGACCATTTCTTCCTCTCTGTTGTACCAGCAATTTTGTTCATTCTGGTGGCTTTGTCTTTTATCAACTTCCAAATCTGTACCAAGACTTGATATTGAACCCTAGGATGGCAGAAACAACTGCCCACATGGCAACATGACCAGCATGGAACCCATCATCTTATCCCATTGCCAAACACCACGGCTCCACACACCCAGACTGTGCTCTCGGCTCTTCCTCCAAGTTAAATTCACAAAATGGCATTATAGTCTCCCGTTGCTCATGCCAGAAACTCGGAATTGATCATGAACCTTGCTCTCCTAAAGCTAATAGTCATGAACTCTATAGCAGCTATCCATGGTTGTGTCTTGAGTCAACCTAAAACCATCAGTTAAAAGGACAGCCTTTGTCAAGATTTTGGTGACTACCCGAATAACTCTACTGGTCTCCCCCAGGCTCACTTTTTTTTTTTGAGACAAGGTCTCGCTACGCAGTTCAGGCTGGCCTTTAACTCACTGCGCTCCTCCTGCCTCAGCCTCCAGCGTGCTGGGATTACAGGCGTGCGCCAAGCCCGGGTCCAGCTCACTCCGGCAGCTGCCTTACCGCACGTGGTGCCTGGACGTGGCGGGCGGGGTAAGCCCAGTCCCTCAGTGTGTTCTTTTAACTTCATGCTTTGGAAGGTGATCTCTTGATTCCTTCTAGGAGGACAGCGCTGAGGCAGGAAGATCGCAAGTTCGAGCCTGACTCATAATTTTTTTAAAAGGCACGGGGATGTAGGTCAGGGTGAAAGTCTTGCGTTCAACCTCCGCTACCGGAAAACAAACAAACCGGGTTTGCCGTCTTGGGGAAGAAGGGAAACCCCAGGATAGGCGAGGCGCAGAGAGATGACGTCGCGCCTTGTAGGAAGTGACGTCACCTTCGCGTACGGCGCTTCCGGCCCGCGTGAGCGGAGTTTCGCGCCGGCTGGTGGCGAGGGCAAGCGTGGACGGGCTAAGTGGTGCAGGTTTTCTCGAGTACCTTTCTCTTCTCCGGGACCATGGCCACAGACTCTTGGGCCCTGGCAGTGGACGAGCAGGAGGCAGCTGTCAAGTCGGTAAGTGGCTTCGGGCGGAAGAACGTAACGGGCCCACGCGGCGCTGTCTGGAGCCCCGGAGCTTTCCGAGTGGCCCGCGGCCTGCGCGCTGCCGCAGTTTGCCGCGGGCGGTCACCTAGTCGGAGGGCCCGGGGCAAAAGAAACGGCTGCCGAGCATTTTATCTTCATGCGGGCTGGAGAATTGCTCCTGTGGTGAAGTCTGTCCGCGCTGCGTGTGCCGTGCCTCCCAAGGGCGCCGCTTTCTCGTGGTGATTCTAAGGGAAGGCGATTCTTTCTCGTTCAGTGTTTTGGAGCGTTCTTGGGCGACTTTATATTTAACGATTCTTACATCCATGCTTAACGTGACTGGGTTTGTCGCTTTTTGTAGAGTAACAGATTCGGGTTTATCCTCGCTTTTTTTAAGGCTAGAGTCTCGCCACGTACAGTAGGCTGACCTCGAACTCGCAATCCGAGCTCAGCCTCCCGAGTGCTGGGATTACAGGCAGGGGCCACCGTACCCCGCTCAGATTTAGATGTCATGTTTCAGTCAACTGCACATATTGGAGGGAGACACGAATTGTTTCATTGATGTTTAAAGTGATGTTTAGTTTCATAGGTTGCTTTTTATTACTGAAGATCTATTCACCTGGAAGGTATAATGTAAATTGTTGGTTTATGTCCAAGACATTAAGTTTAGGTTTGTTTGGTGATAATAGACTTTTGATTTTAAGAATGTTAATAGAATACTTGGGAGGCTGAGGCAGGAGGATCATATGGCCCAGAGTCCGAGGCCAGCCAGATATACATAGCAAGACCCTGTCTTAAAAAATAAAGCAACAAGAGCCGGGAATGTAGCTCAGCGGCACAATGCCTGCCTGGCAAGCGCAAGGTCCTGAGTTCGATTTACGGTAACAAAAACAAAGCAACAAAAAGAATGTAAGGTTTTCTTTGTTTTATGGTAGCCTTACCAGACTTTTTAATGCGTGAATTACATTGCTTCTCCAGCCATGGTTTGTTTTGTTTTGTTTTGTTTGCTCGAGACAAGGTCTTGCTATGTAGTTTAGGCTGGCCTTGGACTCAGCGTGTCCCAGGCTGGCCTCAAACTCCCAGCGATCGTCCTAGCTCAGTGCTGGCATTATATGCGTGCACCACCATGCCCAGTCCTCCAGCCATGTTTATGGCTTCAGGAGTATTTTCAGTTTGTCAGCAGGTATTTGAAATGGTCTAAGTCCATTGGAGTATAGGAAGCAGATTTACAATCTAGATAGAAAGGCTAGAAGGGGGAAAATGTTATCAGAATGGTAAGGATAATGTGATGTGTGAGCTTTTGAGAAATAATATTTATGAGTAGAAAAAACAGGTACTTTCTTGTGAGCTGGATGTTAGAAAGTGAATCTTGTTTGTTTGTTTTTGTCTTTTTTTGAGACAGGGTCTGGCTTTGCAGTTCAAGCTGGCCTTGAGCTCACTTTGTAACCCAGGCTGGCCTCCAACTCACAATGATCCTTCTGCCTCAGCCTCCTGAGTGCTGGGATTACAAGCATGCACCTCCATGCCCTGCATGAATCATATTAAAAACAGGTGTCTTAGTTAGTTTTCTCTTTGCTGAAACAGAATACCCCACACCCAGATTTAAGGAAGGAAGCTCACAGTTTGTGGAGGTTTCAGTCCATAATCAGCTGGTTCCAAGGCAAAGTGGCATAGCAGAGGGGCAACAGTTCAAGGCCAAAAGCGCGGAGAGCAAAAAGAAGAGGAACAGACCTCCTTCCGGAACTCCTTTATATTGTAAGCAGGCTACTCAAACCATCTCCCTGCCCTCCTGTTGCACAGGTTCAGTATGTTTACAAAGTGAGAACCCTGGCCCACTGTTGAGTCACTTTTTATATTTTTGAAGTTAAACTTCCAAACTTCTCAGGTTGACACAATGAATCAACCATTACAACATCTTGGAGAGTAAACAGCCACCCCAGGACATGTCCTCTATCCCCCTAAGATGTAGAATTGCTGAGTTACTTAGTTAAGCCGCTAACTTCTCAAGTTGATACAATGTATCAACCATTAGAACAAGTGAAGGTAAAAGGCATTTTAGAACAGAATGTGCCAAAGTGTTGGACAAGAGTCAACTCATTTTTGCTCAACCTTAGGTTGGGGTAGGGACAGTAATGAAAACATTGCAGAAAATCTACTGCGAACCTTAACCAAGGACTCAAGAGTAAAGTCTGTATTTAGCAGGTTTGCCATTTTTAAGAGAAATACTGACAGCTAGTGGACTGCAGAGAGCAAAATGTATCAGAAGGAGTGACACCTAAATGAAAGGAGATCAATGTGCAGGTTACTCTGATTGCCCAGAGATTGAGGACATATTTTGGGCAGTGGAAGTGAAGATGAAGGAGTGGAATCAAAAGATATTGTGAGCTGGGCATGGCGGCACTTGCCTGTAATCCTAGCACTCTAGGAAGCTGAGGTAGGAGGGTCACAAGTTCTAGCCAGCCTCGTCAGCTTAGCAATTGAATGAAACCCTGCTTCAAAAAGGGCTGAGAATGTAGCTCAGTGTGAAGGCCCTAGGTTCATTCCCTAGTACCTCTGAAAAAACTACATATAAGAATTTGCTAATGTAATACAAAGAACAGAAGGGAGATAAAGGCAAATGTTAGTATCTTCAACCTTTATTCTCCAGGCATTGTTACTAAGTGCTAGTAACAATAATAGGAAAGTGGGCAGGAGGGCAGATTTGGTCTAGAGAATAAGTACGGGTCTAAATGTTGTGAGTTCAAGTAAAGTCGGTATCTGGAAAGCACTAGAAGTTTTCAGTTAGTTTGGTGATTTGTCTCGAAGACTATAATTGTGCTTATAACTATGATTTCTTTCTTTTTCTTTTCTTTTTTTTTTTTGGAGACAGAGTCTCACTCTGCAGTTCAGGCTGGCTTTGAACTCACTTTGTAACCCAGGTTGGTCTTGAACTTACAGTGATCCTCCTGCCTCAGCCTCCTGAGTGCTGAGATTATAGGCCTGAGCCATTATGCCTGGCTTTTTATATTTTTGAAGACAGGATCTCACTGTAATTCATCCTGGCCTTCAACTCAATACATAGTCCTTAAACTTGCAATACTCCTGCCTCCGCCTCCTGAGTGGTAGAATTACAAGCTTGTACCATTGTGCCCACCTTCAAATCTAAAGGTTTTAAAATGTGTGACCCGAAGCCGGGGACGTAGCACAGTGGTAGAGCACCTGTATAGTATAGGAGGCCCTGGGCAGTACCACACACATCCAAGGTGACCGTAATCTTACTATGATGTGAATGTTACCAGTATATTCCTAAACATAGTTAGTATCTGGTTGTAACCATCCTGCTTATAAATGGGTTTTTTATTTGTTTGATTAATTTATATAGGGTCTCCCTGTCTTGCTCAGGCCAATCTTGGACAGCTGGGTATAAATGTTTTAAACAGTGCTTCCTGATGGTTGAAGATGCCTCTTTTTTATTTAAAAATTTGTTTTGTTTTGTTTTATTAGTACATTGTAGGTATATATAATGATGACATTCATCATAGGGAGTTTGTAGCTACACGATAGGTTTGTGAATCTTTTTTTTCCCATTTCCCTTCCCTTCCACCTCACTTCCCCTTTTTATTTATAAAAGCTTTGTTTGCATTTTTTCCTTCTATTTTTTTTCTTGCCCCTTCTTTCTTCCCCACTCCCTGTCCCTTGTTCCCTTTCTCATTTGAACATTTTCTTCCCATTTCCCAATATCTATTATATATTTTAGTCCTTATTTACACTTTCAGTTTCTCACACCAGAGAAAGCATGAGCTATTTGAACACATGTGTCCAATTTATTTCACTTGAGTATGGTCTCAGGGTGCATCCATTTAGCTAAAAATGTCTCAAGCTTACCCTTTATGGCAGAGTAGGACTCCATTGTATAAAAAAGTCACATCTTCTTTAACCATTCATCGGTTGGTAGGCACTTGGACTGTTTCCAAGGTTTGGCTATTATAAACTGTGCTGCTGTAAACATCAGTGTGCATATATTGCTGTGGTATGATGCTTTCCTTTCATTAAGATACCACGAAGGGGAATAGCTGGGTCAAATGGAACCTCTAATTTTAGGTTTTTGAGGAATTTCCGTACTGATTTCCATAGTGGTTGCACCAGTCTACACTCCCACCAATAGTGAAGAAGGGTTCCTTTTCCCCAACAGCCCTGCCAGCATTTGTTATTGGCTGATTTCTTGATAACAGCCATTCTTACTGGAGTGAGATGGAATATCAGTGTTGCATCTGTCAGATAACCAGGGATGTTAAACATTTTTTCATATATTTGCTGTTTCTACTTTTTCAACTGAAAAGTACCTGTTCATTTCAGATGCCTATTTTTGAACTAGGTCTTTAAATTTGGGAGGGTCTGATGTATTATCTATCTATTTATTTATTTATTTTTAGTTCTTCAAATATTCTAGGTAGTTCTTTATATATTCTAGATAGTAGTCCTTTGAGGATCAACTGGCAAAAAAAATTTTCCCAGACTCGCTTGTCTCTTCACTCTGTTGGTGGTTTCTTTTGCTGTGGAAAAGCTTTTTATTGGTTCCTTTGTTGACGATAAAGCAACTGAGTGTGTTTGGAGTTGTTTCTGCAACTTCTAATTTGTTCCATTGATCCTCAGGTCTGGTTTTTTTTTGCCAGTACTATGCTGTTTTTTCTCACAGTAGCTTTGTAGTTTGTGTGTGTGTGTGTGTGTGTTGTGTGTTTTGTTTTGTTTTTTGAAACTAGTGCTCTCTATGTAGTTCAGAGAGTTTAACTCACTGTGTAGTCCAGGCTGACCTCAGAGTTATGATGATCTTCCTGCTTCAGCCTCCCCAGTGCTGGGATTATAGGCATACATCACTATGAGGTACATCTCCAGCCTTTTTTTAGGGCTGTTTTTTGTTGTTGTTGTTGTTGTTGTTTGATACAAGGTCTGCTCATTTGCCCAGCCTGAGCTTTAATTTGTGATCTTCCTGCTTCAGCTTCTTGAGTTGCTGGGATTGTAAATGGGTAACACCACTCTTGGCATCAGTCAGGCTTTCTGGAGATTACACTAATCAGTGTGGTCCAATTAGGGGACTCCAGATGGTCTCAATCACATTTTCCAACCATCCCAATTGAAGTTATTACAGCCCCATTGTATACATCCTGAGGATGAAGAGTAACCAGCCAGTCGTTAAGACCTGGAAAAATACCTTCCTGGATCCAGGTCAGTTTTCTCATTGGCCATCAGAGAAAGGGTGTCTCCCCCAAGGAGAGAGTGTGTGGCTCTGCTTTTTCTCTGGAAAAGCTGGTCTCTGAAGAGCTCAGATGAATACTCTTACTGTGGGGCTTCCTTCTCCCAAAGGCCCAGAATAGGATCAGTTGGGAAAAGTTCAACTAGGACGGGGAATGATTATTTAATGAGGTGTATAATCAGCCCTCAGGAACCAGTGGTTACCAGAAGGTTAGTGACTTAGTATGTCAACTCAGGGGGTGGGGCGTGGGCCTATGAGATGGCTTGGAAAGTCTCAGAACCTAACAACACACCTTTATAATACCATCTTTATAGCCCACTTCTTCCTCTTCCCAATTCTTAGAACACAGAAAATTAGTTCTTGCAAAAGTAGAGACGTGACTGCAAGTTTATTAATTATTGATCTACTGGCACTTTCCTTTGCAACTTACTAAGCAAGTTTGTATTTCAAAATTTAAAACATTTTCCTATCATGTACTTGGCTTTGTCAGTTGTTTCATTGTAGTAAGTTTGCAGTGCTATGGATAGAATCCAGGCCCTTCATTTTATTTTGTTTTTGAGGGTCTTGCTATATAGTTCAGACTGGTCTTGAACTTAGTATGTAGTCCAGGCTGGCCTCAACTTGTGGCGATCTTCCTGCTTCAGCCTCCTGAGTGCGTGCACCACTATGCTTGGCTTTATTTTTTTATTTGAAACAGGGTCTAATTAAGTTGTCTACACTGGGCTCAAACTTGCAGTCCTCTTGCCTCTGTCTCCCAGAGTGCTGGGATTGCAGAGGATTATAGTTTATTTTCTGTTCCTTTGATACAGTGTAAATTTCAGGATTAAAAAGGACAAAGCAGGGCTTGGAGGTATAACTCAGGGTAGAACACTTGCCAAATATTCTTGAGGCCCTGAGAACAGTCCCCAGTGCTTCCGGCAGGGTGGGGAGCTTATTGAAGTGTATAAGTGATACCATTCTCAGGAAAGAACTGTGATTGATTGTACCACTGAGAAGACATAATATTTAGTAAAGATCAGACGTTCCAGAAAGAGTATACCTGGGAGGAAAGCAGAGGTTTTGGATTCTTTTATACTTTCTCCCTGTCATGACATTTAGCACCCCAGCCGAGGCTCTTAGCAGTTCTGTCTTGAGCACAACAGACGGGCTCCCTGAGTGTCCTGTGCAGCAGTTATTGCTAGAATGTCCCTGGGGAGCTCTTCCTTGCCCAGCCCTTCTTTGACTGGGACCTTCGCTTACTCTTTCTCCTTTTGTTCCTATTCAGATGAGCAGTTTGCAGATCAAGGAAGAGAAAGTCAAACCGGATACCAATGGTGAGTCGCTAGTGCCTGCCGGCCAGTACAACCCAGTACACGTACACGTGTGCTCTGTTTTGCCCTCACAGGTGCAGTGAGCAGTGCTTTCCTTTAGGGGCATGAGACAGCCCTGGAGCCTAGAGCCTGAAATTAGATTTCATTACTGAAGAGGTGAAATGTCCACTTCTCGGATTTTCCTAATCCCTGACTCCCTTAACAGCAAGAGTTACTGTTACACTTGTTCACTTACTGCTGTTATCTTGAAATATTTTTAAATTTTAAAAAAACTGAATCTGGGCTCCACACTCAGAAAGTATAAAAAGGTGTGAGGTCTCACCTGCAGCCTCCTGTGTGGTCCTTTGCTGGGGTGTCCTAGTGAAGCGCCGCGAAGCTTGGGTGGGGGATGAGGAGTAGCAGTGTGTCAGCTCAGGGTTTGGAAAGCCCGGGTGTCCGCAAGGTTGGCTGTCTCCCAGGCAAGGAGGAGGACTCTGCTGCAGGCCTCTCTCCGGCTCTCTGGTTTGCTGCTGTTGGGGGTCACACGGTTTGTAACTGCATGTCCCCTGTCTCTGCTTTCATCTTCCCATAGCAGCCCCTGGGTGCATGTCTGGTGCCCAATAGTGCCACCTCTTTGTGGTGCTGGGGACCGAACCCAGGGCCTTAAGTACGCTAGGTAAGTGCTTTCTCTCTAGGGTACATCTCAGCCCTCAGTTTTCCCTTCTATAAGGACCCAGGCATATTGTTGGGAGTTTTTTTTTGTTTTTGTTTTTCTAAACTTTAAAATGTCAATATTTGCTGAGCGTGGTGGTACACACCTGTAATTTCAGCACTACTTGGGAGGCTGATGCAGGAGGATCTCCATGAGTCAAGGCCAGCCTAGACTACATAGTAAGTTCAAGGCCAGGCTGAACTACATAAGCAAGACCTTATCTCAAAAAACAAAGGAAAAAAAACAATTATAGAGTCACATACATGACAGGTGACAGTCTGCCCTTGCTATCAGTGATAATTGGATTACGGCACACACTAGAGCAGTAGTCTCCAAACTTTTTGCTTTTTGGTGCAAGGAACCAATTTCATGGAAGATGGTTTTTCCATGAGATGGGGGAGAGTATGGTTTCAGGATGCTTCAAACATCCCCCAGGGTTGTAACTATAAAGGTTGTTGGCTCACACGCTGCTCAACTCCTGTATTGTGGCCTGGTTCCTAACAGGCCAGAGATTGATACTGGGCTTCCTCTCTCAGGGTGGGGACTCTTGCTTTAGAAACCTTAGCTTAACTAATTATACCCACAGTCACCCCATTCCCAAATGAGGTCACATTCTCAGGTACTGGAGGTTAGAATATGAGCATAGAGATTTCAGGAAGACACAGTTCAGCTCATAACGCCCCATCTTGTGAGTGGCCACTGTTACTGGACTTTGGGCATTCTTCCATAGTTTCGTTATGCAAAGCAACAATGCTTTGTTAGTACAAACATTGATTCTCAAGCCAGGCATGGCGGCCCATGCCTGTAAATCCCAGCACTCAAGAAGCTGAGGCAGGAGGATTGCCATGAGTTCAAGGCCAGCCTAGGCTACATAGTTCAAAGCTATCCTGAACTACATAGCAAGACCCTGTCTCAAAAAAGAAAAGAAAAGATTTATATGTCAGAACATAGTATTTTCTCTGTTTTATAACTACATGGTACTGTACTGTGTGAAACATAGTAATTTATTTAACCGGTCATCTATTGTTAGTTGGTTAGGTTTGTCGCATTCTTTTGTCTTATAAACAGTTCCTTATGGAGTAATTGTGAACTTAAATTTTTTTATGTGTGCAATGTTTTTGTGGGATAAAGTTCCAAAAGATGTATAGGACAAAGGCATATGCATTTGCAGTTTTTATAGGTGTGTTCAGAATACCTCCATCTATAAGTGTCACATCAATTTGTATTTCTAGCAGCACCACCTGTAACTCTGTTTCTCTTTAGCCTCATCACGAGTATTTAATCAGACTTACCTATTTTTAACCAAACATTTAGAATTTGGCCAACCTGATAGTTGTGTTTGCTGATTGAAACCTGTATTTCACTTGAGTAAGTCAAGTGATAAATTTTTCTTAAGCACTTAAGAACTCTCTAGAAGTACAGTCTATTAAATATAAAGAAATGCCAGTTTTGGGGGCTGTGGATTTAGCTCAGCGGCACAGCGCCTGCCTGGCAAGCGCAAGGTCATGAGTTTGATTCCGGTACTGGAAAAAAAAACAAAAAACCTCCAAAAAATGAAATGCCAGTTTCTATATTTGGGCCACTGAAACAAGTTTTAGTGTTTTCGTTGTCCCGCCTTTTAGGTGGGTTTAAAAATTGCTTTCTAATGGCAGCTGTTTTCTTCTATAGGTGTTGTCAAAACCAGTCCCACTGCAGAGAAGACAGATGAAGAGGAGAAAGGTAACACTCCGAGCCCTGTGGCAGGGACGGAGCCTGAGCCCAGCCTTGCCCTCCTGGAGCTGGTGGTGCTGAGTTACAGATGAGAGGATGAGGGGCTCCGCCAAGGAGGAGCCATAGGGAGACAGAGTGCTGGTCGCAAGTGCTGTGTCCTGGAAGCCACAGAAAGTGTGTCCAAAGTAGTGTGTCAGCTAGAGGTAACAGGGCAGTTAAGAGAGTAACTAGTGCCAGGTGCATTGTGTATTCCTGTAGTCTCAGCTGTGTGAGAGGCTGAGGTGGGAGGATTGCAATTTTGAGGCCAGCTTGGGCAGCATAACATAATCCCACCTCAGAGAAAAATCAGCTACAAATTGACCATTGGATCACTGTGGCATGTGGAAATCATTGAGGACCTTAGCAAGGGCTGTTGAGGGTACACACTGAACAGAAAAGGGAAGGAGAGGAAATGAGTACAGATAGCCCTTTTTGGGAATGTTCCAGAAGAGTTGGGTAATGAATGGGACAGGTTTATAAAGAGAGAAAGGGGGACAATGAATGGGAGGAAGCAGGTTTGTAAAGAGATGATAAACCGGGCACGCCTGTAAGCCTGTAGTCCCAGCACTCGAGAGGCTGAGGCAGGAGGATCATCGCAAGTTCGAGACCAGCCTGAGCTACAAAGTGAGCTCAAGGCCAGCTTGCACTGCATAGTGAGACCCTGCCTCAAAAAGACAAAAAAAAGAACAGAGAGATGGTAAAATAGGTTCAGGTGCTGGTGGGAGTGGCCCAGTGAGGGGGACCGGTGATAGTGCAAGGAGGCAGTGCAGAGAGCAATGTCCTGTGCACAGGCGGGGGTGAGCCCCAGGTGGGCAGGGGTACAGCAGAGGTCAGGAGTGAGAATGTGGAGAACTTGAAGGCTTGCAGAGAGAGGAGAAGGTAGCATGGAGGTTTCCGGACCGAGATGAATTAGGAAACTATGGAAACGAGAAGCCTCGCTGAGTCCATCAGCCCACCTGTGCCTTGTAGTCAAGAATGTAAGGGGAGCTGGGCGCAGGGGCGCTGCCTATAATCCTGCCACTCTGACAGGATAAGGCATTGAGAGCTCTGTCCCCGCCTACGCAGTTTTGGCAATGTAGTGAGACCCTCTCTGGAAATGAAAAATAAAACAGGCTGGGGCTATAGCTCAGTGCAGGGGCCCTGGATTCAATCCTAGTGCCAACAATTAAGAATTTACAGGGAGGGCTGCCAGTGTGGGTGTTTTCGTCAGCCATGCATGGCTGTCTGGTGCTGGGGCTGAGGGAGATGGAGCATTTTCACACGGTGGGGCTGGATTTGATGTAGCTACAAACTCTACTGGTTTCTTGGACAGAGGACAGAGCCGCCCAGTCTTTACTCAACAAGCTGATCAGAAGCAACCTCGTCGATAACACAAACCAAGTGGAAGTCCTGCAGCGGGACCCCAGCTCCCCGCTCTACTCGGTGAAGTCTTTTGAGGAGCTCCGCCTGTGAGTATTCACTGCTTTCAATGGCTCTTCCTTTCTAGTCCCTCCTCATTGGACTTCCACTTGTTTCTTTTGTTTTTTAAGTTTTTATTTACTTATTTTAAAGGTAGCAAGGTTTTACATTTACTAATGTAGGAAAAAGAAGTATACACTATAGGGTGGCCTAAAATAGTTCAGTGTACTTACTTTGAGTAAATAATAATTCAGTTGATCCAGTGGGCTAAGCATGGGGATAGCTCAGTGGTAGAGTGCCTGCCTCACATACCTGGGTTCCATCTCCAGCAACACACACACGTGCAAACACATGCAGAGTGAAGACGTGTAAACAGTGTCACAGTGACACTGTTCTTCTGCCCCTCTCTTGGCAACCCAGTTCTCCTCTTCCCTTTTTTATTTGAGACAAGGTCTCACTATATAGTCCAAATTGGCCTTGTACTCACTTTTGTAACCCAGGCTGGCCTTGAACTCATGGCAGTCCTCCTGCCTCAGCCTCCCAAGTGCTGGGATTACAGCCTTATAACTGTGTGCCACCACACCCAGCTATAGGATTTATATTCTTTAGAAGGATTTGTTAACTACTTTTAAAAAGTGTGTTAAAGGAGTCTACATTCCTATTACCAAGAGTGGAAAGCAACTTTTGACAGTTCCAATTTTAAAAAAAGTCCAGAACCCAGAAGTAAGCCTCACGGAGGGCATGTTTATGGCATTCTGCTAAAAAAGGACTTTTAATATAGTTTTAAAAGGCAGAGAATTAGGAAGGTCCGTACCATGTGTTTTGTTTCTTTCAGTAAGTAAAGTGGTATTTATAGGTGGTTGGGTTAACGTGCAGCCGCTGTGCTGGCTGTTTGGAGGAGCACAACACATGCCTACCATTCCTACTGCGCACCAGGATCCAAACCATAGAAAAAACTAGTGAGTAAGAATATGGTAGAATAAACGGATTACTTGCCTTTGTTGAACAAAATCTGTAGCGTGGTGTGCTTAGTGGGCACACAGGCTACATTCTGCTGTTACTGAGTAAGAGACATTGAAAATTAGCTAAGTAGTTGGTAGTGAAGTAATTGTGCAGAACAAGTTTTTTAAAGTGTAATGTTTAAGGTTTTCAGGAAATTAGACTTTTCTCTGTGTATTTCCCCTATCCAGGACTTTATTCACCAAATCTGTCATCCCTGCTTGTGCTCTTAAACTTACCAGGGCAACTAGAGAGGCGCTGTTTTGTTTCCTGAGACTGAGATTTTGTCCTTCCAAGATAGTGGGTATTTTTAGGTTCCTTTCATCTAAAAGAGTTGAGCTCTCAGTTCAACCACTGATGAATTGTCCTCTTTAGGTTCTCTCTGAGTTAGTTGTTGGAAGCTAAAGGAAACAAAGACTAGAACCTCAGTCACCTAATATACTTGGAATTTTTATCCTTAAAAGATTTGAAATCTAGGCCAGGCATGATGGCCTATGCCTGTCATTCCAGCATTAGGAAAGCTGAGGTAGGAAGATCACCTCAACTTCAAAGCCACCCTGGGCTACATGCTTGAATTTAAGGTCACCCTGAACTACATATCCAGACCTTATCTCAAGACACCAAAATTTAAAAAAAAAAAAAAAATTGAAATCTGTAAAATAAAAGTAATGAGTCAGTGGAGGCCATTAGATTGCCTGAGTCCTGATTAGCTAATGGTTTGTTTCCTTGACAGCCAAATCAGAAACTGCCTTTTTTCCCTATAAACAGAAGACAACAATTATTTTCTTTTTTCACTTTGTGTCTCAGAACTGATATATGCCAGAAGAATTTACCTTTTACCTGTTAATCTCTAGGAAAAGCTTAGAGAAGTACTGATTTTTCAGACTTAAAGTTGGCTTTTCTTCTTCCTCCTCCTCCTCTTCTTCTTTTTTTCAGGAACTCATCATGTAGCCCAGGCTGGCCTTGAATTTGCAGCAGCCATCCTCCTGCCTCAGCCTCCTAAGTTCTGGAATTACAAGCATGTGCCACCAGCCTAGCAGTTTCGCTAAGTCACTGAGTTGCCCAGGCTGGCCTCAAACTTGCCATCCCCTGGCTCAGTCTCCCAGAGTGCTGTGACTGTGGGCATGTGCTGCCACACTTAGCTTGAGTTGGTTTTAGATAGCATTTTCAAGGCATTAAAAAAGTCTGATAGAGGTACGAGGCATCATTCTTGTAAGACATAAAGGAAAAGAGAAACTGGGAATGGGGAATAGAGAAAAGAAGGAAAAAGAAAAAATACAGATAGTTAAGATCGTTATACTACTGATTACTCTTAATTCATTGAAAAGTTTGTGCTAATATTATTTGGACAGTTACATGCCGATACCTTATACTCTTGAGTAACTAATTTAAAGATAACAATATGCAGTGTATTAACCATTGTTCCCCTCCTGTTTTGTTTTGAAATTTTATTTTTTGTTCTCTTTAAAAGACATAACGGAAGATAGGATTATAGGCCTTAAAACAATTTTAGCTACTAAAATCCATCCTATGTCTTCTTTTTCTCCTAGGAAGCCACAGCTTCTCCAAGGAGTCTATGCCATGGGCTTTAATCGACCGTCCAAGATACAAGAGAACGCATTACCCATGATGCTCGCTGAACCGTGAGTGAAGATCCAAGTGACCTTTCAAAGTTGGTTTACTGATGTCGCCGTGAACTGCTGTTCCTGGTGCTGAGTACCAAATAGGCTGTTTAGGGGACGTGTTTCAGGCAAATAGCTTGGCAGGTGCAGAGAAAGTCATGGATTTGGCTACAGTTCTTATCTTTCCCACTTAAAAGTAAAAACCAGTAATGATAGTGCTTTGTTTTATGTAATATTAAAAATTGACTTTTTAGAAGTGATTTGAAGCTGGACCTGGGGTAGTACACTCCTGTCATCTCAGCCCTCTTGGGGGCTGAGGCAGGAGGGTTGCAAGTCTGAGCCCAGCCTGGGCAGTTTAGCAAGACCCTGTCTCAATGAAAAGGCAGGGTTGTTGGAGCACTAATACTGAGCGACCTGGTTCGCACTGGAATCCATCCCAGGATCCGTAACTTGGACCCCCTCAGTTGCCTCTGGCCCTCTCCATTGGACCATAGACCTGAGTGGCTTTGGCTTCCTGTCTGAACCCTGACCTTTAGCTGCCCAGACCTCTCATCTTGATCCCTTTCCCTCACACCTAAGCATGGCCTGGGTGCCCCAAAGTGAGGCAGGCAGCCTCCCAGCCAGGCCCTAAGAGCCAAATCCACAGGCTGGTCCCACTTTAAGTGTGCGCCCAGGACTGACTCAGGCCCTGGTTCCACTCTGCCTGCAGAGCTGGTCCCACAGACCTGGACCTCAGGCTTGAAATGTGGCGAGGGTTGCTTTGCTTTGCTTTGCTCTGCTTTTGCTCTGCTTTTGCTCTGCTTTTGCTCTGCTTTTGCTCTGCCCTGCTCTGCTCTGCCTTTTTTTTGTGCTTCAGAGACACCATACTATTTAATACCTATTTTTGATTTAAAAAATAAAAGGGCTGAGGGACCGGGTGTGGTGACACACCCCTGTAATCCCAGCACTTGGGAAGCAGAAGGATCACCACCAGTTTGAGGCCAGCCTGAACTACATAGAGAGATCCTGTGTGGCGCCGGCGGGGATGTAGCTTAGTACAGAGGCCCTGGGTTCAGTCTCCAGCACCACCAGAGAAAATTATTTTGACGTGTGTGAGCCCTACAGAAAGGGTGTGATGGACAATACCAGGAGCGCCTCTGTAGCCTTATCTAACAAGTAAAACCTCAGTCCATTTTCTTCTCTTCTTTCTCCCTCCAGCACTACCTCCCTCCCCTTCCTTCTTTCCACTCTCCTCTTTCTCTTTTCTTCCTTTTCTTCATCCACCCAGCAAATAGAAAAAACGAAAGCAAAACATGGGTCTGGTCAACAGTCAGAACCCCGTAAAACCTTCCTTTCCTTCCTGTCTCCTGCCTGCTAGGACTGAGCTACGACCTGGGTGGGTCTTGTCCCCTTAGGTTTCTTTGCCCTTTTTTTAAATGTCTAAAATGCCACCAGTCCCCATGACAGTGGATCACATGAAGTTGTGCGCAGGTTGATGACTTACATTTCCGTGGAGATAGGAAAAGTGAACATGCGAAAGGAGCCGAGTCCTGGGGATGTGTCGGCACTGCTTCATTCCGTACTCTGCTTCCTGATTTCCCGGGGGCCCTGGGCACAGAACGAGGGCATCCTGTGCTAGAGTCGAGAAGGAACGTTGCGTGTGAACCCATCTACAGTAGTCACTATTTCCTTTATAGTAAAGGTGTTTTTTTTTTTTTTGGTTTTTCTCCGGTACCAGGAACCGAACTCACGACCTTGCGCTTGCCAGGCAGGCGCTTCTGCCGCTGAGCTAAATCCCCAGCCCCGTAAAGGTGTTTTTTTAATGACCTATAAAAAATGTTACCCTGTAATTTGTGCTCGGTGCCAAAAAATGGGATAATGTATATAAACAGAAAGGGGGAAAATGTCCCGTCCCCACAACGAATAATTTCGTGCTTCATTGTTTTGCCAATAATCGTCTCCTTTCTGTCCCCCCTCCGTCCAGCCCACAGAACCTAATCGCCCAGTCTCAGTCCGGCACTGGGAAAACAGCTGCCTTCGTCCTGGCCATGCTCAGCCGCGTGGAACCAGCAGACAGACATCCTCAGGTGGGTGCGATGGGAACCCTGGCTCACCTGCCTGGGAGGGGACACCTGCTGACCCCTCAGGCAGAGTGGGTGCATGTACCCGGCCCCACCAGGCAGAGTTCATGTGGAAGCCGCAGCCCCAAGCAAGCCAGGGCTCCCAGCAGGCCAAGCTCTCTCCCAGAGGCTTGGTCCACTGCCAGAAGGAGAGCCTGGTGGCCTGTGCGGGGCAAGCCTGTAGTCTTGCTAACTTCATCCTTTCTGGTTTCTCCATCAGTGTCTGTGCCTCTCCCCAACATACGAACTGGCGCTTCAGACGGGAAAAGTGATCGAGCAGATGGGCAGATTTTACCCGGAGCTCAAGCTCGCTTATGCTGTTCGAGGCAATAAATGTGAGTGTGAGGGATGCAGTGTAAGCAGGGTGGGGTGCTAGGTATTGATTTTGAAGATGTGGTGATGTATCAGCTTCTAGTTCAGCTGGACCCTAGCGTCTTGTTACATTGCTCTCAGCGAATCAGTTTAAGTACAGACATTCCTCGTTTAATGGCTGAGTTCCATTCCTGCAACTTGATCTGAGGAATTATATGTAGTATGTACATCACAATATTTAGAACAAAGAAATGGTCAAAGGAGGCCAGGCGTGGTGGTACATACCTGTAATCCTATCACTTGGGAGGCTGAGGCAGGAGGATTGCCCTGAGTTCTACGCCAGCTTTGGTTACATAATGAGTTCAAGGCCAGCCTGAACTACATAGTAGAAATGCTATCTCAAAAAAAAGGAAAGGGTCACAGGAAACCCTTGACCATATGACTTTGCTTTTATTTGTATAGCTCCTACATGTAGTACTACAGTGTATAACAAAACATAAAACTATAGTACTGTACAGTACAATCAGCAAAAATTATAGTACTGTATAAACAAGGTGTATGGTACAAAAAAAGACACTAAGGCTCTATCAACAAGAAGTAGAGAACTGTATAAGAGAAAGATGGGTCGTAAGTGCAGTGGCATGCCTCAGTCGAAGTCCAAACAGTCTTTAAACAGGTAGGTCATTAAACAAGGGATATCTGTACTTGCTGGTTTGCTCACACTTCTCTCCAGTGCTCCCCACAATCCTAGGGTGCAAACCTACCTTACACTTGCTAAACAGACACCCTACCACTGAGCTACTCCCCAGCCCACCGCTCCTCTCCAGTCTTAAGATTTTAAGTTGTTCAGCAATGAAAACTCTGCAAGGCTCCTGGAGTTTGTTTCTCATGTACTGGGAACTGAACCCAGTATCTTTACACTGAGCTATAGTCCCAGCCCCCCGTTTTAAAAACAAGTTCTTACTAAGTTCTCTAGGTTAGGTTTGAACTTGTGATCCTCTCTTGCCTCAGCCTCCTATACTGCAGGTCTGCATCTGGAATTCTTCACTAAAAAGACAGAATTTTGAGTTCTAGAACCTGCTTAGATTAGCAGGACTGGGGTGGCAGGTTGGGATCAGATTCCTTTAGCAGTAAGCACCAGCTTTAGTAAAGAAAAAACTGGGAGATCCAAAAAAATGAAATATCTAGGAATCGATCTAATGAAGGGTGTAGAAGACCTCTACATTGAAAATTACAGTACTTTGAAAAAGGAGATTCAAGTAGATATCAGAAAACGGAAAGATATACCGTGCCCTTGGGTAGGAAGAACGAATATAGTGAAATGGCCATACTTCCAAACTGCAGTCTGTTATACAGATTTAATGCAATCCTGATCAAAATTCCAATAGCATATCTCACAGAATTAGAGAAAACAATCCTAAAATTCTTTTGGAACCAGAAGAGACCTAGAATAGCAAAGGCAATTCCGGGCAACAAAGGCAAGGGAGGGGGTATCACAATACCTCACTTGAAATGATAGTATAAAGGTACTGTGATAAAAACAGCATGGAGGGGCTGGGGATTTAGCTCAGCAGCAAAGCGCCTGC